ACTACTTTCTCCAGGATGACTGTATACAGTATGCTATTATGATATATGTATTTATGCATTATGGTATGCAGCATTGATAATTCCATATACAATATATTATTTCTTAAAGCGTTTCTGGGGATAATTTACCTGCTTACACACAATAGGTACGGATATGAGTGAGGTACATATTGGATTAGTTGACAACCAACAAATGGGTCTCAAACAATATGACCTGGGAAAGTAGAATGTTTAACCCAAAAAACATGGGAGGTAAATGATTAAACAACCAGCTATGGGAATATTTTATGGGTAAAATGTTCTAAATATGTGATATGGCGAGGGACTAATATACCTATAAGTAGCTAATCCTTTTGTGGCCAGATGGGGACACAACGGAAGAAAAACTGGGGGACCAAAAATGGCACATTTGAATGGGTATGAAATCAACATAAATCAACCATATGCATCCATATATGCCAAATACAGTCGGAAATTGTGGTAGAGACTTCCAATTGCTCTTCAGCATCCCAGTGGGCCCAGGTGTGTCTACCCTCAGTGGCAGAGATCCTGAGCCCGGGCAACGTGAAAGCCTTTGTGGTGGAATTGGCAGCTCCATCCATGCGGCACTTGCGGGATCCCCAATGACCTGGCGATTTTACAAGCTTTGTGAGTAGGGGGAAGCCCAGAATGGGCTTATTTGAGGTTTCTAAATGTTCAAAATCCAGTAAATGGGCTCATTTTCTATAAAGCAATTAAAAAACATTACTGGGCTACTCCACTATTCCAGTTTCAACATGGGCTTATTTTCTAAATATTGGCATCCAGTTGCACCTGGTTGTGGCGAGGTCGGACCTCCCTCGTGCCCTGCACATCGTGTGCACGGAAGACTCGAAGGAGCAGATCTACGACGTGCAGCTGGCACTGCCGGGTGAGTCACAGGTGACACGGATTCAAAAAAAAAGTTTTTTATATCTCAACCCTAACTTGATTATTGCCTATTGTCTATATGTTTTTTTCCCACCCAAAGTTTGGTCATGGTGGATCATTTGGGTTGATGTTTTTGTGTACCACACATGTTCTTAAGACCTCCATTTTTGGCTTTTTCGTTTGTTTAGTCTATCTGGGTGTTCTCGAAAATAGGAGAAATCAGACTACTCCAAACTTTGTTTTCCCTACTTAAATTTATAACTACTGTGACTTGTATGATTTTCGGGGCCTCCGATTTGGATCATTTGGGGATCATCATATCCAACAATTTTCCAAGATCCAATTTTCCTCATATCCAAGATAATCCAAGATAATCATATTGGATTTTGGGGATCATGCAAGAATGGATCATTTCTGCATCATCTTAATCCCAAAAATCCTCCAAGATCCATGAATAATTATCCAAATCATCCAAAAAGCACCCAAAAATCATCCAAATCACTGCCAATCACTGGCTAATCTGCCGTGAGGTGCGCCTGGCTCCCCTGGAGTTGCCGACCTTCCCTGGCGTCCCGCAGGCTGCAGCCGTGTCGCCGCTGCCGACGATGCCGGGCTTCGCGCTCAGCGCCGGGCTGCAGGCGCCGGTGGAGCTAAAGGCGGTGACGGAGGCGCAGACGGCGGCGGAACTGCTGAAGGAGATCGTTGGGGGGTTGGGATGGGATGGTGATTTTGGGATGATTTTCTAGATGGGTATGGGTCAATACCTATAGATACATTTTTAGTGGGATGAACATCCATTTACCAGCTATTTTGATGTTCACCAGGGGTACAAGGTTTTGACACACTGCCAGATGATGTTGGTTGAGTCTTGGTTGAGTCTTGGATAGTTTCAAACTGATTAGATGGTTTTTGGGATGGGAAAGATGACTCCAACGCCAGGAGTGGCTCCAGGTATGGCCTCCTGGCGCGCCATTGTGGCCGTCTCCTGGTGACGCCTCGGCGCGAAGGACGTGGTCCCTGGGACTCTCCGAAGAGTTGCTGGGCGAGGCCTACGAGCTGCGCATCGAGGATGAATTCCTGGAGCTGCTGGCCGGCACCAAGGACCGGGCAGGTCATGGGGACTGGGGTGATTTTTCTTGGGAACTATGGGATTTTCAGCTCCATAAGATAGATTAAGATGAGATATTGGGATTAAACACAATTTTGGTGAACTATGAGCCGCTTGTAGTGAGCAGCGGGGTGAACCGTGAGATTCTTGGGAAAATGAAGGAAAGATAGGGATTTCATCCTGAGACAAGGAATGCTACCATATTTTCTAAGGCTCCCTTAACCACTGGTCACCACCTCCAGGAAGGCTTCCTCCGTGGCGTCGCCAGCATCCGTCAGCTCTTCGGCATTGCCCTGGCTGAAGGCTGGCCGCGCGTCCCTGCGCAGATCTTGCGCGACCGGCCGCGCTTTGGACACCGGGGACTGATGCTGGACGTGGCCAGGCACTTCTTCCCCGTGAGCTTCGTGAAGCGCTTGTTGGAGACTTGGATGACTTGGATGACTTGGTTGACTTGGGGCTGAGTTTGAGTCGGTGATATCACAAAAAACATGGAGATGAACAATATCATTTAGCCAATGGCATTTGTTGGGCTGGTGAGTTTTTTTTGTTTGTTTGTGTTTATTTATATATATATATATATGTATTTTTGGATAGATATGGATTTCGGACATATACTGCAATAAAGAAGCAAGTGAAATGTGCAGCTCGGTGGGTCTTGAGTCTTGGCTTATCTTGCTCAAGGAGACATTGTACATTGATTATATAAGCAGTCATGTATTGCTGATTGATTTGCCCATCATTGGGCTGAATGGCTTAACCAAGACCATACTTCGTCACAGGCGTCGCGTTTCTTAGCAATTTCTTTTTTGGCACACACACATGTATATATGTATATATAGTAATTACAGATCTATGATTTGCCAAATCATGCTTTACACTTGTGGTTTGAACAATCCCTGTAGATCCTGTCTATGTTCCATATACCTGGAACAGCTACGTTACTCTCCCAAGATTCTTTCATGAGACACATCAAGCAACCCAACCACAAACGCAAAGGGTGCGAAACTGCTCCTGGTCTCTTGCGGTTTCAAGTTACATTGTGTTGGTTTGATCAACCGATAAACCGAAACCAAGTCTGGAGTTCAAATATCCCTTCAGAGATTGTAGACAGAGAAAATATTTGATAATCCATCGAAAATCTGATTTTCTCACTAAACAAAAAAGGATTTCCCCTGACCATCCAATGTTTTTGAAGCTCAGGATTGGATGTTTTTCTACAAACTGAATGTCTTCCATTGGCACCTCACTGACGATGAGGGCTGGAGGTTGGAGATCAAATCTTTGCCCAACCTGACAACGCACGGTGCCTTCCGTGGCCGCGGCCACGTCATCGAGCCACAGTATGGTGGCGACCCGAGGAGGTGCTGCGACGTGATCCAGAGATGATACCCTCTGGTAATGACTAACATAGCTATTGAAAATGACCATAGAAATAGTGGATTTTCCCATTAAAAATGATGATTTTCCATAGTTATGTTAGTTTACCAGAGGGTATCCATGTGAGACTGGCAGGGGACATGGTGCAAACTATTTTCTGTGGATCGATGTTAGCACTGAATCCAGCCTAACTTCTAATATTTCAAATTTCAAAGATTTTAATCCAAAGGTTTCCCCCGAGTCACCGAAAAACCATGGTCTCCCTGAGGTATGGCGGCTTTTATAGCCACGACGACGTCCGGGAGGTGCTGCGCTATGCTGAGCAGCGTGGCATCACCGTGGTCCCCGAGATCGACGTCCCTGGGCACTGCTACGCCGCCCTGCAGGCGCTCCCAGAGTTGGCCAAAACGGTGGAGAAACGAAAGGCTCCGCGCAGTGTGCAAGGCACGGCACGGTGCTTCTGAAAAGTGTTTGGAGATGTCTATGGGATGAGCGTCTTCCAGTTTTTTGAATACATTTCTATGATTTTGTATGTATGTTTACATCTCGAAACTCTTGGATTCCAGCCAAACAGCTTAAGCGGCAGCAGCCCAGCGGACAAATCCGAAAGAAGCTGGACAATCATAACCTACAGAGGCAAATGAGTGGTAAATGGTGAACATCTATCAAAATATGTGGATTACCATTCAATTCCCACTCAATTACCCCCAAAAATACCAAAAAATGCCCACATTTTCCTTGGCCATGTGTTGGTAAAAGCTGTAGATAGCCATGTTTCATGGTCAACCTCCCAGTTGTCTTTTTTCTTTTTTATCTGGTTGGTGGTTTGGAACATTCTTTATTTTTCCATTCAGTTGGGACTAATCATCCCAACTGACGAACTCCATCATTTTTCAGAGGGGTAGGTCAACCACCAACCAGTTATGTTATATCTATATAACAATCCCATCATATAACCATATATAATCACTATTATTGGTATTATAACCACTATTAGATATGCCTATATTTTATAATACCAATATATAGTCATCCCCAAATAGATGGAAAAGTAAATCACCATCAAATTAGTAGGGATTTACTTTTCCATCTATTTGGGGATGACTATATCTATATATCTATATATATATGGCATCATAATCCCGGGTTCAACTTCTCCCAGGCTTCCGCGGCAACGTTTTGGACGTCCGCGCGGAGGTGACCTTCGCGTTTTTGGAGGCGGTGCTGATCGAGGTGCTGGAGCTGTTCCCGGGGCCCGTGCACGTGGGGATGGATGAGATTCCAGCCAGGGCTTGGAGCCAACAGCCGGAGGAGGAGGAGATGTTGATGGCCGATTTGGGGTTTCGACAAGTTGGCGATTTGTTGATTTTGAGTTGGAAAATTCATGAAAATTCCAGAGTTGGAAGATAAGAAAAGAGTGAAACATATGCCCTGTTAAGTGAGAGTTGTTTGGATATTGACATTTTTGGTGTGGTTAAACTCGTGTGGTCGCTTTCGGCCCCAGGAGCGGCTGAAGGCGATGCTGGCGGCCTGGCTGCAAGAGTTCCTGGGGGCGCGCGGCCGCGCGATGCTGGCATGGGAGGAAGCCTTCTCAGGACGAGTTGTGGTGCTGGATGGGGCGGATGCGGCGATGGGAAATTCTGACCATGGAACAAGTCTGGTGATTCTTCAGATGTAAAAAAAAATCACCTGGTGGTTTGGGATGATGATTTGAATTCACCTGGTGATTTGGGATGATGATCCAATACGACATATATATGTTTGGGTTAAATTCACAGACAAGATTGGCTCACTTGTTTCTTGGAGAATGGCTCTTTCACCAGCGCCACGCTCTCCATCACAACATATGATGTGGTTTCAAGGCAACATTTTCCTCAGGGTCTCTTGCCTTGTCCTGCAGGAAACAGCGGAGTTGTTCCGAACGCAGATCCCCGGCCAGCAGCGATGGCATGGAAAGATGATGAGAGATTTGCAGTGCAGGCAGCGAATGTTGGGTTGGACATCATCTTGTGTCCTGCTCATTTCTTGTACCTGGACATCGTGCAGGATCTCAACTTCGAAGACAAGCTGCTTGCCAGAAATCGGCAGATCGACAAGTTCTTGTAAAGCTTGTTGGGTCAAATATTTATTCACATGGATGTGTCATGATGAGAGTCAGGCTGTGATTTGTTTTTGGAGTTGTACACCACGAGCGTCTTCAAACTGATCGCACATGCTGTGTGAAGACTCAAATAATTCTGTCAAGGTACTGGGAAGGGTGACCTGAGATAGAACCAGACTATACAATACTATAGGGCTGTTGTCAAATCATACTGTTGTTATATATATATGTATATATATAGATTATATATATATAATATATAATATATATATATATTATATCAATTGTATGCCCTAATATCAGTGTTGGTTCCCCCTTTCTGTTGACATTAGGGGTCTCTACTGGGCAGCCCCTGCTTTGCCCTTGCACCGGGTCTACGACTACGAGCCGCTGGAGCGCTTGAAACGCCTCGGGCTCCAGGCGGATGCGGTGCAGCGGCTGCGTGGCGTCCAGGCGAATCTGTGGACGGAGACGGTGGAGTCCGAAGAACGCGCGCAGGCGGGTGGACGGAAGCTGCCTGGCAGTTGGGGCGATTGGCCATGGTTAGAACATGTTAGAACTTTTTTTTTTTTTCAGTTTTTTTGAAAAAAGAGGCAACTGCACTCATGTGAGCTCTAGTATTTTGGGTCTGTCTCCAAGTAGGATGCCAACAAGTTCGATGGTTTATAGTCGTTTAGTCAGCTTTTCCCTATTCAAATTGGCAATTTTTCTCATTTTCGCAGTCTTTTTCTTTCACGGGTAACTCTCCCCAGTTTGTGAATATGAGGAATTCCTGCGACGTCTTTGTGGCAGGAGATGCTATTTCCACGACTCCTTGCCGTCGCAGAGCTCGCTTGGACAATGCCGGAGCGAAAAGTTTGGGAGGATTTCAAGTTCAAGCGACTCGGACCTGGTTTCGTCTCGAATCGCAATGATGGGCTGTTCAGTGCTGTTCAAAACCACTGTTGGTTGCTGACTGTTGCGGGGGTTATATATACCGGCCAAGATCATAAGCCATGAAGGGGGCATCCCTATTGACCAGGCCTCGCTTGAGCGGAATGCAACAAAAAATATGGTTGCTGTTGATCTCCGATGAAGACCAATGGCTCTAGGTTGAAACCACTCATCAGGTACACTCAATATCTTTATTTGGGTTTGTCTGAAAATAGGGTATATTCCCAATTATAGCCATTTAATAGGGATAATGATCATTAACCATTGGGTGTAGGGGTACACTATTTTCAGACACACCCATTTATGTTGTTACTAGGCGTGCATACGTCCGCCCTTGTTGCGTCTTGTAACCCAAGGTTGGGCCCTCAACTGCAGTGGCTGACCCGTGAAGCTTCCCTGCAGCGGTGGAATTGGCACAAGTTTTTCTTGGCAAAGGCAGATTTTATGCGAGTGAAGTCTCCTTCTCTCTGATGATCGTCCTTGGATTGTTCCGAGCATGGCATCTGGACAAAGCTGGAGGAACAAACTTGCAGACCTCTGGAGACCTCTGGAGACCTCTGGAGACCACTGAAGAGTGAGAGGCTTCCAAAAATATGGCCAAGCATTTAGGTGGAAGAGGCCATTTCTGTGGCAGAAGTTGAACTTTCTGTGGCGACCATTCGGAGCTGTGGCACGAGAGTTAGGCTTCGGGGTGATGGGAAGCAAGAGCGCCGGCGATCTGTGGAGCAAGCAACGCTTCAGAGCTGCGACAGTTGAGACGAGCAAGATGGTCGTTGTTGACTTTTTCGACATTCAAAAGTGGTGTGCGATGTGCTTATGTCATCATGTCCAATGCTACACCCAGCACAATGTAGGGATTGACTACATTGACTACATTCCCCAGAAGAAACACGAAGAATCATGAAGAATGACAAGAACAATGGGAGCAGAAGTGGTGGTTTTTTAACTCCAACGAATATTGCCATTGATGGGACAATTTCTTATATACTATGACTTGTACCATCGGATTTGAGATGAGTTGGGGGTTTCCGATTCTTCTTGACATTTTTGACAAACCATAGCATTGGATGCCCCCCTAAAAATATAACAAAGCTCTGGAAAGTCAGCATTTCAACTTTTCAACTCGGCAAATTGTCCTTGCTTTCTTTTTAATCATGTACCCTCCTGGTAATTTAACATAGCTATTGAAAATGGTCATTTATAGTTGATTTACCCATAAAAAATGGTGATTTTCCATAGTTATGTGAGTTTACCAGAGGGTATTTGTCATCTTCCATAGCAGTGTGAAATTCCCAGAGGGTATAGCTCTGGACTACGAGAAAACCCGACTGATTCGTAGCGACTGAGCTGGAAGCGATCGACTGAGGTTTGCGCCGTGACTTTCGATGGTACCGGCCATGCGCATTTCAGGCATGGCGTTCTGGGGGTGACGGTGATGGCTGTGGTTGGCAACTGGGGCGTATTTTCCAACTACAAATGGGATAACCCATAATGGAGATGGTTGGATCACGTTATTTAAAGAACCCCCAAAGAAAAGTGGTAAAACCCTCTAGATTTGCTGGTGATTGAATTGAACCGTTTTGACACTTTCTGGGGGTTGCTATGATATGTCCAAATAGCACAAGGTGTGACCGATTTCAACTTGAAAAACATGCTGAGAGGATTTTTTACTGGTTTCACTTGGCAGCAGTGTAAACTGGTTTCTCTAGACGAGACACTCATACTGTCGGAACCAGTCCGACAAATCCAAGATTTCAGGAAAACTACTGATGTAAGTAGAGGGTTTGCAGCCGGACATGGCCGTATTTGGAAAAAATCGTACCGGACAAAAAAAATGTCAAAACCCGTACGGACAGAACATTTTGTCTTTATGGTTTTCCAGGTATATAGCGACCTCACAACGACCTCACCATGATGGGTAAGAGGAATCCCCAAATCACCGAACATTTCAGTTTTGTGCTTGACAAAACAATCCCCAAATAACCCCCCCTCAAAAAAATGTTCTTGACGTTGGTGCACAAAAAGGTTGCTGGCATCGTGATTCATCACGTTGCCGCCGCATCAGGAATCGCTACGTCCGCACTCCTGGCTTTGTGGAGGAGCTGGAAGCGAAAAAGATGTTGGGTGGCCATTCTGCGTCAACCTGGGGGATCTTTGACAATTTTTCCCTCAAAAACTGGGGAGAAGCCATACATATCATAAATTCAAAGGTATAAACGGTATAACATTTCAATCTTCATCAATCTTCCAATGAAGGCCGGGGGCAAATCCCTCATTTCTGGCAGAATTTGTCACGCTTCCGAGGCTCTACCGCGGCCAATTCTCGCAGAAGTCGGGTGGATTTTTGGCCAATGCAGCTGGGATGTCGATAGATGGCTGGTGTGGTGAAATGATCTATCGAATGGGGTACCCTCTGGTAAACGTTTACAGTTTGCGAACTTGAACATGGCCATAGAAATAGTGGATTTAGCCATTAAAAATGGTGATTTTCCATAGCTATGTTACTTTACCAGAGGGCATATCTGCTTAACCAGTCTTTTTTTGAGGATCCAACCTATTTTCAACAGTTTCCATGTGCTGACTTGGCCAGGCCAGGCCATGTTGGTGGGTGATGCCAGGCTTTTGACATGAGGGTCAAGAACCTGGCCAACACCAACGTGATGCATTGGGCAGGCAAGCGAAGCCGCGGCGCTTCGCCGCACCAGCTGGGTGTCCGTGAAGAAAAAGCTGGGCAGATTTACCGGATTTACCCAACAAAAGTGGAAAAAAACAAGTGGACCAGTGGACGATGATGATAAAAATAAAAACATATAAGACACATAGGACCATACGTAGGTTTATGTTGGTTGTATCCATACTCTTCAGCTCCAATGCAGCACCAGCGCCAGGTCGGCTGTTCGCCCTGTGGGAAGGTGGCCTGCCCATGGAGCTGCTTGGCTAGCTGTAGAATTTCCCAAGACTACATAGCCAGATCCAACTGAACCACGTCCAGTTGACTCCTGTGGCTTGTTGTTTCGGTTATGCCATGTTATGCCCTTCATGAGTTGCGTGGGTTAGATCCCAGACTCACTTGGGTTTCTGGCAAACATCGTCCACTTGTCGTTGGATGGAGATATTTCCGACGTTGATCCACTGAGTGATCTGTGACCCACACACCCCTTTGGGATGACGTCTATAGACCCGGCTTAAGGGAAACTTTACAGGGACCCCAAACAACTCCTGTGTCCTGCAAGTTCTTTCCGCAAAACTCGTGGGTCCATTAACCTCAGGTGTGACCCTCATGGGTTTGTCAGAACATTTACATGGACACACCTTAAATCCACAGGTAAACCTATGGTCCAAAATCCATCATTTTCCCCGAAATGGTCAACTGGTTGGTGGTTTGGAACATTTTTTATTTTTCCATTCAGTTGGGAAGAATAATCCCAACTGACTTTCATATTTTTCAGAGGGGTAGGTCAACCACCAACCAGGTTTTTTTATAACCAGTGGGTAAATCTTTAGGACATATTTAAAATCAATAGAATCAAAAATCTGTAGGACATACTTAAAATCTTTAGGAAATACTTAAATACCAGGTTAAACACCCCAACCAGGTTGAGGGGTCGCAGCCCAGATCTGGCTGAGGTTGGATCCTTTGAGTTTGAGCACCAAGGGCTTCTCCGACTTCAACGGATCTTTGACAAAGAAGGACACCTTCACCGCGCAGCGCGGCCAAGTCCGGAGTTTTTCCAAAAACTGTGGTTCAACCAATGGAAACATGGACAAACATGATACATACATATATATATATATAGATATATATTAATAATGATAATAATAAATAATAATAATAATAATGATAATAACAATAAATGATGATAATAATAATAAATGATGATAATAATAATATAATAATAATAATAATGATAATAATAATAATATATAATAATAAATAACACTAATAATAAAATAATATACATATATATATAAATAATAGCTAAGTTATTTCTCATTGCCATGTTTGATTACCGGAGGGTAAACTCGCTGGTTTCAAGCAGCAAAAACCAACAAAATTATGGGGTTGTGGCTAAAACTACCAGACTATACACCGCTGAAGTCGAAGATGGAATCCCGCCCAAGATGATGATTTATTATTGGAAATTCATGGAATCCAACCCCCTGTTATTTTGGGGTACCATTGCAGGTATAGATGGATATAGGTAGCAATCCTTGGGGGATCCACGTGAGTTAATTTCTAGAACTTGGGGCTGTTGTACTGTACCACAGTACTAAAGTTACTAAAGTGTAAGTCACAACTCTTCATCAACAGATGGGCTTGTAGGAACATCGGGAAACTCTACTTCCAATGGACTATGATCTTTTTTGCATAACAAAACATGGTTGTTGGGGTAGGAGGATCATCCCACGAATCTTAACTGGTTAGCAACGAATCTTTTAGTAACTCCCCATTCAGTGGCTTATTTTGTAGATGGCTAAATAGCCAAACATTGGGTCAGAAAAACCTCTGAGGCATCCGCGTTTCGATGCTAAGACCGTGCGTAAGGCTGGCAGCTGGCCTGGCGATGTTGGCAACACTGGAAATCCTTGGACTTGGGAAAATCGATGGTTTCCGGCAAAAAGTTACGCTGAAACCAAGGAAAAACCAATTCCTACTGTGGATGGGCCAGCGATTCATCCGAATCACCAGTTGAAAACGGTGGTTTTTCCATCCCATCATTGATAGGTCAACCATCCCAGGTGCAGGATTTCGCTGGCCCATCCACAGCAGGTTGAAGGAAATTCCAGGCTGCGCTCACGGTATTTCCAACGTATTTGGAGCGCCCCAGGTGGGATTCCAGTATCAGCCAGATCCTGTGGCCGGCATCACCAACATCTCCTTCTGGGAGTTCGCGCCTGAAGGTTGGCGGCCTTGATAGAACCATTAAAACATACCCTTGTTGAGTTACGAAAACATTATACTAGCTGGGTGATTGAGAATTATCACCAGTATTTCATGGGCAAGAACGGGTATTTTGAATGGCTCAGTAGGTGTTTCGCCCCAGCCTGGAAGGCTTTGATTTGGTGCAGCGCGTGGATGTGGAAGTGCCTGGCTTTGGCTTCTACCACGTGGTGGCTGGCATGCTTGGAATATGTTGGTGAACTGAATCCTTGTGGGAAAATCGTGAATGTTTAGTGAACCTAGATTCAATAGAAACTACCGGTAACATGGCAACGGACAATCATTTAGTTCCATGATTTTCCCATTGATAGGGAGTTTCCCAGCCATCCATGTTGCATTACCGGAGCAAGTCAATTTGAATCCTCTGTTTGCGGCTGAAGTTCCCACCCGGAGGGGTGGTATCCCCTGCCAGGATTTCTTGGTAACTGACAGCTACTACATCCTCAGTCTGGGGGCTGGAGGGCAGCACAGTTTCTGTATCAAGTTCTAAGGTCAACCTGGCTCCACAAGAAGAGCAGGTGTTCGAAAAGAGATTGCAAGTTTCAGTGCATTTTCTTGGCAGGGACTCCCCGAAAACACTCCAACCGCTGGGTCACTGGTTGCATTTTCCCCCAATACTTTGCTCTTTGTCCAAACCCGCAAAAATTACTTCAAACTGAGTTGGTCCTTAGCAAAACCTCCATGTTTAAACCCATGGAATCATGGGGAACTTTGGAAAAAGGACAACACCAGAGGCTTTTTTTTTGGGTCCGTTTCTCCAGCCCTAAGGTCGCGCGCCTGTGGAGATTTCTCCGCAGCGCGGCTTGGAAGGATTACTCGGCTTCAGGCGGGTGGGGAGTGAGTTGGTCAAATGTTGGGTGATGGTATGGCGAACAAAATCTCAAGATTTGTTTTTTTTTGAAAGGGGGAAGAAGGAACTATATCCCATGATCCATGATTTGTCCATCATTTGGGAGCTCTCATCATCTATCATTTAAGGCTACAAGTAGTTGGAACATCATCCATCATCGATAGCAACCTCAAAAATAGACATCGAACAGCTACAACTGGAAATGGTGGAAGAAACATCAGGAAGCATCATCCACAAGTATCTACAACATCCCGGCAGGCAAGGTTTTTTGGGACCTCTATTATGGAGTGACAAGCGATTATACCCCCATTACACCAGAGAATAGGTTGATATACCCACTATACCCATTTATATCCATACGTATATAGTATACCCATAATGCAATTGGTTTATGGGAAAATTTTCAGGCAACCCTATATTTAATGGCAAAAACCATGGTTTCGGGTAGAGATTATCCCTTAAACCAATCCAATGAATCATGTACCCATAACAGGCCCCAAGTTGCTATAACTTCCATTCCCTTCAACCGAAGAGGTCTATGGGTGAGTCCATCGACTTCGACGAGCAGCAGCCTACGCAGCTGGTGTTGGTGCCCGTTGATGGCAACAGCAAAGGTGCTAGGAAAGTGTGACAGCAGCCAGTGAACACCAGCAAGTTTCACCAAAAAGGACGATTTTTTTTGGGTTGATTTGATTGATTGAATTGGGGACTATTTGGGTTGATTTGGGACTGCTGTCTTTTTTTCTCTTTCTTTCGTTTGATTTGGGTTGGTGAGTTGGAGGAAGAAGCCACGTATCATTCCTGTGGCCTCTGTTTGAAATCTTTGCGAAACAGATTGAATCCATTTGCCTGCAAGCAAAGACGTTGTGTCCCTTTGATGTGATTTTGTATTCACCCACGCATCCTTTCCATCCTCTGTCAATGGCACAAGGTACCTCGCGATGGTTCCGAAGCGAGGCCGGCTGTAGCCTCTCCCAGTTGCGTGGCATTGCCCTTCCATGGTCTTCGGGTTCCCATTGACTAAAAGATCAACATCCACATGTTTCCAACATCTTCTGTACTTGGTGGTTCATCTCAGTTATAACCTCAGTTATAAGTAGGGTAAGTAGAATTGGTCCAGATGGAGTCCAGCTATAACTGGGGTGAACCAGCAATGTCAACATCCTGCGCACAGATATGTCGACCTGGACACACACTTCTGCTTCCACTATGCCAATGGCTTTGAAGAAGACGAGAAGTTGATCCTGGATTTCGTTGCTCCGCTGCAACTGGGGTGATAGGAGCAGCAGGTCCCGAAACGGCACGTTTATAAGTCGGCTGAGGTCAAGATTTAGACTTTTGTTTCATTTTACGGTATAAATGGCACATTTTAAGGCACCTTGCTTGATAGGGTCATTCTGGGGGTAGCCATCGAGGTCCGAACGCCCAGTTTGGAGCTGGGGAATGCTTCGGCCCAGCAGAAACCTGTGCCCTGGCTGCACCTGCAGGTGCCATTGGACTTGTGACGTGCTTCATGTGGTTTCAACTATTTCAATTCTATATGTTCCATTTGATGATCTCAAGGTATAAATGAATTTCATTTACACTCATGGTTGTAAAAGAGGTTGACAATTTCTCATCGATATGTTGTGTAGAGTATCATTTTTCCAAGATCTGTTATCTAGGAAGGTTTTTTTCCTTGCTCCTGTGATGAAGTATGTTTTCACAAGACCAACAGATCTCATCGCATTTCTTTTGGGGGGGGTTGAGCGTTTATCATCCATATGTTATGTACAGTATCATTTTTTTCCCCAAAAAACAGATCTGGTTATGATACATATTTGTTTTTTCTTGTTTTTTAGGGCGTTGACAGTTTATCATCCATATTTTCATCCATACGTTTATCATCCACCGTTATATTATCATCCATATATTATGTATCATCGATCATCTTCCCATCATATTTGCATAATAGTCTCATTAAATCACAACACAGATCCATATTATCATCCATATACTATCCATAAAATCCAAAAAATCCATAAAAACCACTAGTAATCCAGATTAAATCACTATTTGATCCATATTATCATCCATATGGTGATTTAATGAGACTATTATGGTGCTAACAGATCTCAGTCACTGTCATAACTTGTCCGCCAAGTTGTGGGAAGTCATGGAGCTTGAATCCTTGGATCCCAACCGCTTCACGCGCTATGAGGTGGAAAGAAGTGCTTTTGTTCGATAGGGATGGTGCTATGGATATGGATTAATGGGTTTTATGGATGATAATAGTCTCATTAAATCCACCATATGGATGATAATATGGATCACATAGTGATTTACTATGGATTACTAGTGATTTTTATGGGATTTTTGGATTTTATGGATAGTACATGGATGATAATACGGATCTGTGGTGTGATTTAATGAGACTATTGTGCACATATGATGGGAATATGATGGATATGATGGGAATCAATGGGATTTTTTCATAGGGATTTCATGAGAATATCATGGGAATCTTGGATTGGTTTGTTGGGGAAAATCTTGGAAACCCATGGTAAGAAACCCATCCTGTAAATCCCTTGAACCAATTTTCGTGACTTAAATATTGGAAACATCATCTACACAAATTGTGTCATCAAACATGGCACGAAAAAACCAATCAAATTAGCCTCTGGCAATGACTGTTACATAGCTATTGAAAATGACCATAGAAATAGTGGATTTTCCATAGTTTTTGGTATGTTTACCAGAGGGTAGCCCATGAAAAGTTGGATGATTTTCCCACGGAAATGACAATGAATCGTTCGGGAATTTCGCCAGCGATGTTTGATTACTGGAGGGGAACCATGAAAAATTCAGCACAGAATTTTGACCGGTGGAAGCAACATGTTGTTTTTTAGGGCTCCAGGCCGAAAAACATTGATGGGAACAGCTTCCAGACTTGAGTTATGGTCATTTCTTCTTTCCTGGAAGCTTAATCCCATCCCTCCCGATCCCCTATTGGGTTAAACACCCCCATGGTTCTTGTCCCAGTCATATGTGGTTTCATCCTCTACATCCACCATGGAGACTCTGGGGGGTGTGACTCGTATGGGGATGGGATGGTCTTCCATTAACATCCCATTTAGACCTCCGTCACATTATGTATCCATAGATGATTTTCCCCACTCTTATAGCTATATAGTATAGATAGTATATAGCCATGGTATTTCCACTGAGCTCCTTTCGTGCACCATGCTCCTTGCCTGCAGATTGATAAGTCCACTGGTAGCTGGACGAAGCAAGAGCCGGGACCTCTGCAGGATGGTGAACTGTGACCACCGGGGGGCAAGCCAAAGTCATGTATGTAGTCTGTCCAATTATACATTGGATAATCATTGGACAATGATTGGATAATCCTTGAATAATGATTGGAATATATATATATATGTATATATATGTATATATATATGTATATATATATATATCGTTAGCAAGTGTTTATCAACGATGATCCAATCTTGGGGATGCTAGCGCGACCCAGGGCACTCAAGTCAGCATTTTTCTAAATCATCAACAGAACTCAGAAGATCAAGGTTTTTGTGGGTGCTTGGCAGACTGAGCATGAAGAGACACCATATCTAAAGCCTGCAAGGTGAGACTGAATAATTAGATAGCTAAGTTGACTTATAATTTGGTTAACTTGGGTTTATGGGGGGATATACTTGGTGGCTCATCCCACTTAGTAAGTAGATTATAACCCCAGTTATAAATGGGATAAGTAGGGTTAATCCACTTATGACTGGGGTTATAACCTACTTACTAAGAGGGATGAGCCACCAAGTAACATGATATAAATAACTATAGTTAATGGATTCATAAAGCAACAACCACAACCAAAAGGCCTCACCTTGCGACTCCCGCTCATGCTGATCATGCTGACCATCCTCCAGACCAAGGCTCTCAGATCAGCATGTGGATTTTCCGAGCATCAACCCGGCCTACAGCACGAAACCCTACCGTTTTGCATGGTGCGTAGGGGACTGAGACTGTGAGTTCTGGCAGAGTTTTTTGGAGTCCAGGATGCTTCCAGTAAATGAAAATGAGATTCTTTTTCTGCTGAAGACTCATGTCTTTTTTGAATCACTTTGCGGTTGTTGGTTCTCGGTTGTTGGTTTCTTTGTTGGATCAGGCCTTCCCAAAAGCAGCTTTGTTGGTGGCTGCTATCCCCAAGGATTCAACCACCGTCGCTCCGAGTGTCCCAGGCGACCAGCGCTTTGGACGGAGTGACTGCACCCTTGCAGGGTCTGGTGAAGGTCGATGTGACAGGGAAGGAGCCGCAGCAGATTTGGTTGTGGGGGGTCCTGGCGGAGTTGGTGGTCAAAAAAGTGGGGTCCGATAGCAGGTCAAACGGTTTGTCTGAAAACAGGGGAGCCCCAATCCAGGGAGTCATATGTCGAAAAAAGGCTACGATGACGCCTGTGATATGCGTGATTTGTTGATTCTGCCTGGATATCAAAATCGCGGGCACAAAAGTGGATGGTGTTGGAAATGCCAAAGCTGCGAGCTCAGGAGTGTGACAATTTTGGCGGCCATGATCCCCTCTGGTTTGGGGTGGTTAGACCAAGTTAGTGAAAGAGGAGCTGAATCCTGTATGAATGGATTCTTTGTAAGTTGTGGGAAAGGTGGATGGTGGCATTTGAAGGCTGAGATTCGTGGCATTTGAAGCGTATTGGCATCGTTTTGCTTCCCGTTAGAAATCGCTTGAGTATTATGGATTGCAGTGCCGAGATGTGCCAAGCAGGTGCCTGGGATAGCAAACCTGCCCCAACACATCATCCCCCAAATCACTAGAAAATGGGTGGTAACGGTGGTAACCATCATTTGCAGTCATGGTAGGTTTATGGTGTTGGGTTTCTCACATTACACTGCCCTGAAATCCCCAGGGCCCAGGGAATTTTGTGGCACGGGCCATATCCACGACGGGTTTTTGGGACGTTCTGAGGCCGGAGGCTGCGGAGTTCATTGGTGAGGTGATCTTCTGTCCTGATGGTGGAGATGCTGAGGCAATGGGAATCAATGGGATGATTTTAAAGGGATTCACTAGGGTAAAATTCAATGGGATCATCCGAGGGCAGAGGGCCGTAAAAAGGGGTATGATTGAACCACCTACAAGATCCTACAAGTGCATCATCTTAACAACTCAGGGTACATGTGGACTTGAAGGCTTTGGGGTCTACATATCTTACTGAGCTGATGACGGATTGCAGTGCATCAAACTTGTTCTTTGTTTTCTCGTTCAGTGGCAGAAACGCTGAGTTCACATATAGTTCATATACCCTCTGGTAATTTAACATAGCTATTGAACATGGCCATTTATAGTGGATTTACCCATTGAAAATGGCGATTTTCCATAGTAATGTTAGTTTACCAGATGGTAGTGGTCTTGGAATCTCTTGGGATCAGAATGAAGACCATATCAGACACCATGCGATCACTGTCTTCACCATAGGCATATCAGTGATCTGATGGTCGCGGTCCGGCGGTCGCACCAGAATCAGTGGATCCCACACCGAGGACGATGGCTACCTCGTGGGTATTTCAGTGGACGGCCGGAAAAAGAGCCCAGGCACTCAGATGCTGCCAGATGCCTGCTGCGAATGGAGCTGGTTACTAAATTCCTGCAATCCCAGTTTCGATCTTGTAATTTCTTTATCTCTCTTTGCCTTAAAAATCAGAACACGCCCAGAACAATCAACCAGCACCTTTGACAGAATCGCGGCGTCGCTTATATGTACATGCATCTATACACACGCACACATTAATACCCCTGCATACAAACAATTCAAGAGACTTATCATCAATTTGGCTGTTATTTGAGAGTGATTTTCGGGTATCCTCCATGGACAATGCCATCTCAAAGGATTGGATGGTTTTTACCCGGTCACCTGCATGTCTATTGAATCGTTCGGTTGCTTGGAAAATCATTCCGCCAAATATCATGATCCATTGAACTGGTTGATTTGAGATGGATTTGTTATGGCTTACATTGTTTGAACCTATAAATGATCCTATTTAAGCTGGATTACTTCAGTAGCAATAACCAATGGTTTTGATGTCTGCTGCCTTTGTTTGGAAGATCATCCCAGTGACTGGCAACTTCCCATTGAGGGACGGCCCGGGACGGCCCCAGGTTCCGACCTCTTGGTCTTTGACGCGCGGGACATTCGGGACGGCCCAATCTGTGTCTCGACACAGCAATTGCCATGGCTGCTATGGTTGGTTGAGAACCACGGTACCAGTTGCGACCAGAAATAGTAATCAATGTTGATCCATATATATATATATATATATACACCATATTAACCCATGATATATTATCCCATCTATATCCATATAAATCACTATTAATCACTATTAATCACTACCAGTAGTACCGCACGGTCGGCGGTGGCGGAAGTTTCAAGGATAGACAACTTTTTTGGAGAGGTGAGTTGTTGTGATGTATGGATGGCAGAGCGAATCCACTGATGTAGTGCTGGTGTAATTGCAGTTGCAGTTGTAGTTGTGTAGTGTTGTGTAGTGTGGTGTAATGCAGCGTAGTTGTAGTAGTTGTAGTTGTAGTGTAGTTGTAGTTGTAGCTCTAGTAGTAGTGTAATTAGTGTAGTGTGGTGTAGCTGTAGTTGCACTTGTACTTGTAGTAACGTAGTGCAGTGTAGTGTAGTGTAATTAGAGTAGCGTAGAGTAGCGGAATGTCATGTAGCGCAGTAGTAGTTGTAGCTGTAGCTGTAGTCGTAGTCGTAGTTGTAGTGCTGTGTACTGTAGTGTAGTGGTGTGCGCTGTAGTGTAGTGTAGTATAGTATAGTGTAATTTATGTACTTAGTGTAACTAGTGTAACTAATCTAGCGTAGTGTAGTCTAATGTAGGGTAGTTGTAGTCGGAGTTGTACTTGTAGTTGTATTTGTAGTTTTAGCTGTAGTTGTAGTTGTGGTTGTGCTTGTTGTAGTGTAGTTGTAGTTGTAGTTGTAGCTGTAGTTGTTGTGGTCGTGTTGTGAACGTCCAAAATTCATCCATCCCCATCATGTTTTCCCCATCAGACCATCAGTCAGCAGGACATCATCATCATCCAATCATCAACATCATCATCATCCTCATCATCCTCATCATCCTCATCATCCTCATCATCCTCATCATCATCATCATCATCCTCATCATCCTCATCATCCTCATCATCCTCATCATCCTCATCATCCTCATCATCCTCATCATCCTCATCATCCTCATCATCCTCATCATCCTCATTCTCATCATCACCACCATCATCACCATGACCATGACCATGACCATGACCATGACCATGACCATCACCACCACCACCATCATCATCATCATCAGCATCATCATCATCACCATCACCATCACCATCACCATCACCATCACCATCACCACCATCACCATCACCACCATCACCATCACCATCATCATCATCATGATCATGATCATGATCATCATCATCATCATCATGATGACCACCACCATCACCATCATCATCATCATCATCATCATGACCATCATCATCATCATCATGATGATCATCATGATGATGATGATCATCATCATCATCGTCATCATCATCATCATCATCATCAATCATAATCATACATATGTTGCATTGCCTTGAACATCTTGCGCACGGACAATTGCTGCATTGGGGGGTCTCACTTGCTGGACCAAATAGATATTGCAACCCTACAACCGCTCGTACCCCCCCTGGCCTCAAGTCTACCTTTTCGCCCACGTGCATCTTCTTTCTTCTGACCCTTTCTCTTCTCTGATCTTCTTTCTTCTTCTCTTCTCTTCTCTGATTCTTCCCACCTCTGCTTTTTCATCTGTCCATATTGTCGTAGTTTGACTTCTAAACTTCCTTCGACTATGGTTGATAGGGAAATCCATGGTTTCCTGTAGATTTTTACCTCGAATCATCCCAATGACTCAGAATCTCTATGGTTTTGAAGATATCGGGCGAAAAAACCGTCGAAACCTCTATTTAGAAATGTAGAATACTAGGGGTTAAATCCCCTATGAGTTGGGATAAATGCCCTTCAACCCCCAAGTATGTCCATCACATTCAAGTGGTCGATTTTCCTATCCAAATCTCAGTTGAGTTAGCTGGATTTCCCAGCAGAGCTGAAAAACGAAGGACCCGTCCGGCACCCGACCCGAGGTCGTTTGCCGTTGCCGGCCTTCATCCCCCACGCCTTACATGGCAGTTACGTGCCGGGCCTGGTGCCGAGTGCCGCTGAGATCCAAGCAGCGTGGGAGGAGACGCCCACATCTCTTTGAGGGCCAAAAGCCTCGAAAGATGGCGATTTTTGCCTCGACAAATTGGGATACTGTCTAGGGGGGTTAATAAACATGCCGAGATTTTTTAATTACCAAAAATACGGGGATATCACGTGATCTAAATGATAAATTATGGTCGAGTGAGGATTAGTGAACGTATTCAGATGAATTCGGAGAAGGGTCGAACTTTTCGCACTGGGATTTTTCGACCTTGCCGCGTTGGCAGAGGGCTCTCCCGTGCTTGTAGATCAATTTTTTTAATGAAATGCTTCCTCTCAAAGAGAGGAGGATTTCAACAGGCTCAGCAGGCTCCGCAGGCTCCGCAACACAAGTTTGGAGGAAAGAAAAATGGGATCAAAACCTAGTACGCCATGTTACCATATTGTGGGGGGATGAACATCGATGACTACGAGGCTTCCCTAGCTTCTTGTCCTCGCTCTTGCGACTTGCTTTCTGCCTTTGCCCCCTTCTTTTTTTTGCCTCTTGCTTCTGTGTCTTGCTTGCTAAAGTTTCTTGCTTTTGCGACTGGTTTTCTTCTTGCAACTTGATTGCTTCGCCTTGCTTCCAGCTTCTTGCTCTTGCGACTCGTTTGCTTCATCCATCTCTTGCGCCATCTCTTGCTACCCTCTTCTCTGACGCGCTCCCCTTGCTGGCGGCAGGGGCCGGCGGATATTGGGGTCCATTTTTGGTTGTATTTATTATTTATTGATATGATGGAATCACAATACTCAAAACTGAGTGCCAAGACCAACGCGGTCGATTTCGCCCTCAACCCAGGGCTCAACACCTCGGCAGACCTTTCATCCATAAGCCTAAACAAGACAAGGCATAGCCGCAAGATGCTGCACGTGTTCATGTTCGCGCATATCACTGGCATCCATTCGAGCTTAGTCTTCTTCCATTCCTCTCCCATGTGGATACAGGGCTTGAGTCTTACCTCCTCTGTTGCAAGCCTGTGCCATTACTCAACAACTACGGGACAACCCTTCATTATCAGCAATGCGGTGGCCCGACACTTGTCGTTGAACATGATCAGAATGTTTGATGAGAGGAAAATTCAATCGACGAATCCCAATTTTCTATAATCTTCCATACTTCCATCTCCATGTTGCAGGGTTAAATCATGTTAAGTCCTAATTTTCCACGGTTTTTCCGTGGCCGCGGGGAAACTTGGTTAACTCTCCATTTTCCATCTCAATGGACACATCCACGGCCTGCTACCCTCTTGCGGCCCAAGCGGACCTTCACCCCTTTTGGGTGAAACCCCGGTTTTCCGGTGCCGGGTGGGAAGCTAAACTGGGTGGGTCACAGGAGTCACAAGTCACATGGGTTTGTCTCAGCATTTCGACACTCCAAATTTGATGGTTTCTCATAGATTCTAAGATCATTTTTCCCCATTTGAATGAGCATTTTGTGGATTTTTGAGATCTACAAAATTATTGAGGCGCTATGTTGAGACAAAAAAGGACACACATTTAATGATGCCTGAGGTCTGTTGCAATGCAGAGTCCCCGTGCTTTGCTCAGCTCGGTTGTTGGAACCACCACTTTTGAAGCTCTGAGACAAAGGGTCTTTGGAAGGTTTCCCCAAATCAAAGAATAGGCGCCAACCTGGCTTTATAGTGCCATTTAGCATTTCCAGCGCAATGAATATCTTATGATTTTCCATTTTTTTCGTGGACAGCCATTCTTAAATGAGAACCAGAATCATGGGGTAGGAACATCTCGAAGTTGGGACCCAGATATCTTGCAGTGGGCTGTTCCCTTTGCTTTGAGCACTGGATCTCATCCCAAAAAAACACACAGATTTTCTGGAAATCGATCCATTTTCCCAGCTATAAACCTCGATTTATTGTGGATTTCCCAGCCATTTTTCGATGATTTTCCAGGCATTTTCCCATTGTTTTCTGGGTGATTTCTCAGTGATGTTGGATTTTTTGGAGGTTGGGACCAGGAGGCCGCGACGCTGAGGCCTGAGCCAGTGGATGATGTTTAAAGGTTCTACACTATCATTGACCTATGGGGATTATAACATTATGATTATCATTAATCTACGGGGATGATAATTATGATCACATATACTAAACATAATATGGGTTTTTCTATGCTTTTCTTAAAAGGTTCATCCAGAATGGGTATGCCTATTGGTTACTGTACTGAAAAAACATATGTTCAATCCGCACTATCATTCACCCATGGGGATGAAACATCATATTGCCATGAATAATGGGAATAATTACCAATCATTCCCATAATCATGATGATCCCCAACATAATTTATGTGGATGATTATACATATATACGTATACAATCGTATACATATATACGTATATATACATATATATACATAGATAGATAGATAGATAGATAGATAAGATAAGATAAGATTAGATTAGATTAGATTAGATAGATAGATAGATAGAATAGAATAGAATAGAATAGAATAGAATGATAGATAGATAGATAGATAGATAGATAGATAGATAGATAGATAGATACATATATACATACATAAATAAATAAATACATACATACAGACAGACAGACATACATACACACACACATACACACACACATACACACATACACACATACACACACATACACACATACATACATACATACATACATACATACATACATACATACATACATACATACATACATACATACATACATACATACATACATACATACATACATACATACACATTTACATATACATATACATATACATCTACATCTACATATACATATACACATATATATATATATGTATATGTATATATATATACACATATATTCTCAATTGATTGGTAACGGGCCCACCTGTTGAACTCCTAGGTGTCCTCACCTAAATGACCTTGGTGACCTCACCAACTTCTATGAAATTCCCAAATGGCTGCCACGCCAAACAATCCTCAAGCGGCCACGCTTGTTTTCATGGCTCGAAGCGATCCCGCCACGTCCCACCCGCTTTGGGCCGCATTGCATGTGTACACACGGAACTTGGCAAGTTGACCAGGCAGTCTGAAGGAAAAAGGGATGAACATGTGAATGCTGGATTGACATTCCCAGTCTTTTAATTCGAAAGAATTTCCGCATTCGACATGTTCCAGTGAAATTTACCATTCACTTTCCCGCATGCAAATAGTAGTGCACTTGTGTCCCATGCTGTATACCCGCAATCATGACATCTCGATGTCCATACAAGTGGTCTTGCATTCCAGACTTTACCAAACCAGCTTCAAAAAAATCCTTGGCTTCCGTTTTCAAAAACCGTTGGACTGCGTGGAAGGTCAAACTTATTGTGAAAGTGTACACCAAAACTATTTCGAGCTGACATTGTGATATGCATTGTTCTCTGAGACGACTTGTCTTTTCTCAGAACTGGATGAATTAGACTCCGTTCCACGAAGCCAGCGAATGCGAGTTTTGGCATCGGCTCGAGTTTTCAACACTTGAGCTTCATCCTGCAACCTATAGTGTCCAAGACGAAGACACTCTCTCAACACTGTGCTGTCCATGATCTTAGTTAAGGAGTCTGCCATCTGAGCACCAGTTGGAACCCATCGGACCATTACACCAGTGGCTAGGTGTTCACGAATCAATTTGGCTTGCAGCAAGGTTCGAAACTCTGAGCATGCAGGCTGTGCAGTTCTACTGATTATATCATACAAGCTTTTACAATCCGTGCTAATGATACTATCGGCAAGACTTATCTTTTTACTTATCTCATGAGTGCGCATCAGCGATTCATTCGGTTCATCATCATTGTCTTCATCTTTGATTGCAGTAAAGGCTGGTGGAAGTTTCAACAAGGCTTGGTCACCTAATTGCCATTGGCATGCATGATCTATCAGCCATGCCCAAAAGAGACGAGCCCAGGCCAATGTGTCCACTGCTCCTGCCATTGCCATAGCCTCTGCTGAAAGTGTACTCACTGCTACCTTCTGGATTTTGCGAGATGACCACAAAATCGGATTGACTGGGCTACTCTGATTTTCTCCGATACACTTATGGGCAGTCATCAAAAGCATACCTTGATGGGAGGAATGATTCTTACTTGAAGCAAAAGCAGCATCTGAGAAAGATACAAATCTGATGTCCTGTAAAGGTATGGGTTGTATACGAAGTGCTGTATCTGCATGTCTTTTGGCTTCCTGAAGAGTACGATTTCCATCCATCAATGTTTGGACTACTGCACTGTTGATTTGACTCTGGAGAAATGAAAGTCTGCTACCCAAATCCGGTCGACTGTTTGTAGAAGCATACTGTAAACTCCCAATCAGTCCCCGCAGTTGTTGACGTTCATCTTCTGTCACTGGTTGTTGAGGATCATGACGGCGTTGACTGTTAACATGAATGGGTTCAATGGCTTTTACATATTTGGTTTGATCAACTGTGATTGAATGGTCTTGATGTTGTTGAATGTGTAAACCAGTGAAGGTGAAGTCTCGATCTTTGCGACTACCAAAAGGATATCTGGCTTCCAACTGTTTCAGTTTGGCATGGAACTCAGGTGTCCCGCAGCAAAGTCCATCATCGACATGAATCCCTATCAAGCCACAGGTTTGACCTCTCTTGTCCTGCAAAGTGAAAAGACATGGATCAAAGGGTGACTGTGTAAATTGTAGTTCAATGAGTGCCTTTTGAAATTCACGAAACCATAGCAACGGTGCATCCACTCGCCCATATGCTCCTTTGAGGAGTTGTACAATCTCGTTATCAGCTAACTTCATCTTGTTGCGTAGTTCGCTTGGTGGTTCTAACCCTAGCTGTCGAGAATCATCACTCCCTCGGAGAAAGGCAGTGCGGATGTCAAAACTACCGATATCCCAGCCAGAGCTAGCAGCAAATTGAAGGATGAGCATCCGAGCAAGTTTGGACAATGTCGGGCTATCTCTGTCAAGTTCACAGAGTTGTGGGTCTTCATACCCCAAAACAATCAGTCTTGCTTTTGGAGCTTTAGTTACCTTCTCGGTGTCTCCCATATCCTTCCATGTCAATAGCCAGCGGCATCGTAGGACATTCTCCTTTGGGATCTGATGTCGACAGATCTTC